GTGACAGTTGTTTCCTGAGCCTTTGCAGTGCTATTCTGGTCTGCTTCATTCTTCTGGTGACTCTGGGGTTCACATTCAGTGCCTACTGATGCAGTCTGCAAGGCAGGAAGGCCCTTTCCTGGCTGCCTTCTGTTGCCCAGCAACCTTCTAGGGGAGCAGCAGCCACTGCACCTGGTCTCTTTATGGCTGTTGTGTGAAGAACAGAGAGATATGGGGTTTCACTGCTGCCACCATTGCAGGCATATCAGACCATCCACCAGCCTGAGTTGTGGACGGCTCAGAGCTTGGGTTGTGAAGTAGGTCTGGGGGCTCTCCACTAGGTTTCTGCTGGGTTCCCCCGTCCCAGTCCTTTGGAGAGAAAGAGCAGGCTCCCTTTGGCTCCTTTTGTGTATTCCTATTGGGGGGTTCCAGGTTGCCAGGCTCTCCTGCACTCAGTCTGGGGGCATACAGGAACTCACTGTGCTGTCATTCCTCAAGTCCTGAGGTCGTCAGCCAGTCCACCTTCTTTCCAGCTTTGAAAGTCTATTTATGTTGTCTATGGAATAATTTCCAGAGTGTTTACATATATTTAGTGTGGAAGATTAGGGGGAAATGAGTCTCCTCCATCTTGTTCTGGGACCAGAAGCCCCATGCACTTAGTTTTAACGATTAAAGAGAGATATCTCCCTTTATTTCTTCTCAAAAATCTCCATAATTCAATATTAATTTTTAAATTGGATCCAGAAATCTTGCTGCTGGAGATGTTTGTAGGAAATCATCCAAGGAATGAAAAGTATCTACCTAAAGATGATTTGAGTTAAGGTTTCATATTGGTTTGTTTGGGCTGCCATAGTAAAATATCATAGACTGATTAACAACAGGCTTAAACAACAGAAATTTATTTTCTCACAGTTCTGGAGGCTGCAAGACCACGGTATCAGCAGGTTTTGTTTTTCCTGAGGCCTCTGTCCTTGGCTTGCAGATGGCCGCCTTCCCTCTGTGTCCTCACATGGTCTTTCCTCTGTATGTGTACCTTCCTAGTCTCTCTCTCTCTCTTCTGATAAGGACACCAGTCCTAACTGGATGAGGGCCCCACTCTTATGATCTCATTTAACCTTAATTACCTCTTCATAGGCCCTATCTCCAAATACAGTCACATTAGGGCTTCAACATATGACTTTGGAAGGGACACAATTCCATCTATAACACGAGCGGCCAGCAGAAAGAGTGTCATGATCAATTAGCAATGTCTGCTATGGTCACAGGAAGGGAAATGGGCACATATGCTATCCATTTGCCCTCCTAGATTTTTGAACACTCATCCCTCTCAGCTGCAGCTTCCTCCAGCCTCACTCTGTGGAGATTTAAGTGTTCTCTTACCCTTTCCTCATGATATGTATCCCCACCCCCTCCAGATTATCACCTTCAGGGACTATCTACCCATTGTGCTCGGTGATGAGATGCAGAAGTGGCTCCCTCCATACAGAGGCTACAACCAATCTGCTGACCCCCGAATCTCCAATGTCTTCACCTTTGCCTTCCGCTTTGGCCACACGGAGGTCCCCTCCACCATGTCCCGCCTGGATGAGAATTATCAGCCTTGGGGTCCAGAAGCAGAGCTCCCCCTGCACACCCTCTTTTTCAACACCTGGAGGATGGTCAAAGAGGGTACGTCTTTTGGGGAAGCACTGTCACCGGGCAGTCTCACTCTGTGGCCTGCTTCTAGGGAAGCCTGGTGTAGAAGCCAGACTCCAGGCACTTCCCGCGTGACCTTGGGCAAGTGAATTCACCTCATTGAGCCTCATTTGTAAAATGGGAACGATGGTACCTATCTCACTAGGACATACAAAAAAATTAAGTGGCATAAATGTGAGAGCACCCCACAATGGTTCCTGACACACAGGGAGTGGTCGATATATATCAGTTATTATTCTTTCTCTCCTCCTCTGGCCTCGAAGGTGCCTGGGCTTTCCCTGCCTCAGGCTTCTCTGACCCCTGTACAAAGAATTCATGAGCTTGGGAAATAAATTGTTCTTTCCTGCTCTCCTCTAGGGCTTCCTACCTCCATCACGTGCCAAAGGTTGGCCCCAGCTCCCCTTTACCTTGGGTTGGGCTGTGTCGCAACTGGCTTTACCTCAGGCCTCACAAGTCAGGGCCATTCTCTGTAGGCTTCCGCCACCTCTTCTCATACCTCCAAGTTCCGGGGGGGAACATATGGAAGGAGAAGGAGCTGGCTTTCTGAGCTAGAGCTCCAGAAAACTTCTGAAGCTTATAGGCAGGCCATTGCCCCAGTAATGCCTCTATCTTCCCCACCCCAGGCCCCAGGCAGGCAGCCTGGACTGCCCTCCAACCCCAGCATACTCTGCAGGCTGCACCTGGCTCTTCTCTCCCGGCCTCCAACCTGTGATGTTCAGCTGGCCCTACTTTTACCTGAGAGGAAATGTCTGGTGGAGGGGGAGGGGCCAGCAGTGGAAGATAGTTTCACGCTACCCACATCCCCAGGACGGCCTCTGGCTCTCCTTTGCAGGTGGAATTGACCCTCTGGTCAGGGGCCTGCTGGCCAAGAAGCCCAAGCTGATGAATCAGAATAAAATGATAACAGAAGAGCTGCGCGGCAAGCTTTTCCAGCCCACTCACAAGATCCACGGCTTCGACCTGGCCGCCATCAACATACAGCGCTGTCGAGACCACGGGATGCCCGGTGAGTGGGCCTGAGGTCCTGCCTGGCCCAGGGGACTTTTAGCTTCTTTCTAGGGTTCCTGGGGACTCTCTTCCATTAACCCTAAGGATCTGACCAATTCTAAAACAGAAGGCAGAGATACCAGTTTTTAAAATTCATTTTGTTCATCTGTGAAATGGCGTCTTCCATTTTCCCTAATGTGGAGACAAGAGAACATATCTGATACCATCTTGGAGCTCCTCAAATGAAAAAGAGATCAACAACTGACTTGTAAAACCAGTTTAAAATCCCAGAAAAGTCACAGACCTAGAGCAGCGATGATAAAGATAGTATATGTCTAGTGCCGATTCAGATGACTGATCAGTAGGGCCTGTGTTGAGATGAATCAGGAGAGGAGAACAGAGGGGCTCCTGGGTAGCTCAGTCGGTTCCAGCATCCAACTTGCGGTTTTGGCTGAGGTCATGATTTCATGGCTTCATGGGTTCAAGTTCCGCATTGGGCTCTATGCTGGCAGTGTGGAACCTGCTTGGGATTCTCTCTCTCTGCCCCTCCCCCATTCATGCTCTCTCTCTCTCTCTCTCTCTCTCTCTCTCTCTCAAAATAAATAAACTTAAAAAAGAGAGACAGAGAGAGAGAGAGAACAATAGAGAGAAACCAATGACTATCGGACCTTCCTTTTATACCCATGAAAGGCAATTTAATGTAGTAATTAAAAGCCAAACTGCCTGGGTTCAAGTCCCAGCTGTGCCATTTCTAGTTATGTGACCTTAGGCAAGTTACTTAACATCTCTGTTCTTCAATTTAAGTATTTTTACGGCGCTTAGAATAGTGCCTGGACCCATAGTAAGCACCACATAACCTGCTAGCCCTCTCATGCCTGAAGTACCGCAAGTGTAAAACAATGGATCCCTGCCCACCCTGTCCCAAAGGCTAGGAGTCCAGACTTTCTGGGGCTGATGGAGCTGGGGCAGGTATGTCCCCAAGGGGGGCTGTGGTGAGAAGCTCCTGGGATGAGACAGCATCAGCCCCTCTGCCCTAGGGTACAACTCCTGGAGAAGCTTCTGTGACCTCTCACAGCCCCAGACACTCAAGGAGCTGGATGCTGTGCTGAAGAACAAGAGGCTGGCTAAGAAGTTACTGGATCTCTATGGGACCCCTGCCAACATCGACATCTGGGTTGGGGCGATTGCTGAGCCCCTGGTAAAGAGGGGCCGAGTGGGGTCTCTCCTGGCCTGCCTCCTAGGGAAGCAGTTCCAGCAGATTCGTGATGGAGACAGGCAAGTGAGACCTTGTGAGGAAGGCAGGGGTGAGCAGACCCTTCTGTGATGTGGACAAGTCCTGTGTGAGGACTAGTCCAGACCTCAGAGTGTTCCCAGTGACCTCCTTCCTTCCCCTTTGGCACAGTGGGGAGGGAGGGGCCACCGCCTGAGCTGTGTGGACAGACCCTGCTTCTGTCTCTGCAGATTCTGGTGGGAGAACCCTGGGGTCTTCACTGAGAAGCAGCAGGACTCTCTACAGAAAATGTCCTTCTCACGCCTTGTTTGTGACAACACCCACATCACCAAGGTCCCACGGCACCCATTCCAGGCCAACAACTACCCTCAAGGCTTTGTGGATTGCTCAGCCATTGACAAGCTGGACCTTTCACCCTGGGCCTCAGTGGAGAATTAGGGGCCCAGATTTCCCAGCCTCCCACACTGTGCAGTTTTGCTCCCTTTGGTCCATGATGCCATTTCAGGCAAGTTCAATGACCCTGTCCCTTAGAGCTGCACACCCCATCCGGGCCCTTCTATTCAGCTGGGTTTCTTGACACTCACCAGATGCACACCTCGCTCAAATCCAAGGCCAGCACCTCTGCCTTTCCAGCTCTTCCACCTGAATCCCACTGTTTCCATGCCATCTGCTCTGTCTGTGGGATGTCACCCATCCTCTCCCTGCAGCAAGTCTTGACTGAGGCCATGGTCTTTGCACTCTTAACTTTCCTCCTCTCCTTTCAAGCTAGATTGTGAGCTCCTTGAGCCAGAGACTTCTGTCTGCTTCCCAGTGTCCCCCGTGCCATCAAGCATGATGCTCAGCACACAGCAAGGGCTCAATAAACATCTGATGATTGACTGATGATGGTGGCAATGACACTGTTCCTTCCAAAAGCAGGCTTTGGGACCACTGCCAAATAAGCAACTAGATGTTTACAGTGCAGACACGTCTTACCACGAAGATGTGTGCACGGGTCTGTGGGGCGAGAAGGCATGGTTTGGTGAAATTTCAGAGTTCTCTAAGAAAAGTGGGAGGCAAGGGGCTCCTGGGGAAAGAAGCAATGGCCGTAGATGAGGGAGAGGGTTTGAAGTGCCATCAAGGGGTCAAACAGAAAGGTTGTCCCAGCCTGGATAATCCTACAGCTAAAGTTGATTTTCCTTCCAGAAATCCTTCTGGGAAATACCTCCTTCTTCTAGGGCAGTCCTTGGAGCCTGTGAGATCTCAGAAGGGGCATGGCCAGAATGTTCCTTGTACCGCTGCCCAATACATGTTCATGTGTTCTTTTAAAATGACCCTCCGGGTAAGGTCAGCCCAGTCAGCACCTCCAGATCCCCTGACTGGTGGAGCGGATGGAGCTCCCACCCTGTGGGAGGAGCCCAGGACCCCGAAGACTTGGCTGCAGTCCTGGCTCTGGCACCCACTTCTTCAAGCCCTTGGATGAGTCTCTTTCTTCTCTGAGCGTCCCTCTCATCATCAGTGAAATGGAGAGGAGTATTTCTCCTGCTATGGGAGGTCCTATTGTGGCCTGGGGCTCCTATGGGTACATAAGCCTCGGCATCCTGCACACCTTCAGGCTCCCAGCTGCCAGGGAAAGGGAGCCAGAGGGGCCGGGGAGAATCAACCAGTCTCAGATATAGGGCTCAAGTTCCAGGCAAGGTTATTTGAGAAATACCCTCCTTCCCTTCCCTCAGCTCTGGCCCTGTCCTCCCGGGCCCAGCCATCTGATGTCCCTGCTCTTGGAAACTGGCTACATGAAGCCAGGACTGAGAGGGAGTCTACTGTCTTGAGGGCCTCTGAACCACCGTGCCAGGCTGCAGGGGTGCAGGATCCAGAGGCACCCCATCATCTGGGAAGGACCTCCTTTCCCATGACACCTCTGTTCTTTCTCTCCCGCGGGACACAGTGTTTTGTTCCTGACACAGAGTGAGCACGTAGCAAGTATTTGCCAGAGCAATAAATGAATATAAGGGCCTGGGGACCACTGTTTCTGTTCTCTGGGGTGGCGTGGCTGGAAGGTGAGAGGCAGGATGGTCTGACCTGGCCCGGAGGCTTCTGAGAATTGACTGCCTTCCATGTGTGGGTCAAAGGACAGCTCCTCGATACCTCACCCCCAGTTTAGAGGCACAGACCACACTGGTTCAAACTGAGATCCCAGAGCAAGCGTCATGCTGAAGCTCCAGCCCCACAGCAGACATGGACAGAGTAAAGGTTCCCATCAGTGGTGTTTTATTATCATAGACGTCAGGTACAAACAAATGGCACAAAAGGGCCAATGCGTCCCAGTTCCTCTCCAGGTGGGCTCCTGTGAACAAGCAAGAGAACGGTGTGAGGAAGCAAACGGGGAGCCACCAACTGAGTCCTGCTCACCTGGGCCCACACCTCACCCACCACGCACACCCTAGCTGCTAATGGCCATTCCTCCAGGGGTCACTGGTTCACTGTCAAGTGTAAGCTCCCCGAGGACAGAAAGTGTCCGACTTTCCCTGAATGTTTCTCAGGCCTACACAGTGCCTGTCAGTAAGTGTTTGGTAAACAACTAGAGGATGTAAGTGGGGCCACTAACGAGCCAAGACAGCTTTTATTAGCAAAGAAGAAAACTCAGGCTTAGTGAGGTCGAGTAATTTGTTCAAGTCACACAGTGGAGAGCTGCAAAGTCAGGATTTTCGCGTAAGCAATCTGGCTCCTGAGCTTGTATCCATTTTGGTATCTTCCCTATACTTAATACATAAACAGCAAACACACACTCACATAAATGACATATATACGCAGCACACAAAACACTACCCATATTCACAGGAAACACACATATGAAATGCAATTTATATACGTTGCATATGCATGCGCGCACACACACACGAATGAATGTCTAGTCATTCGTGTTCTTGGTCAGAACAGGGACAGGCTCACCTAGGGAAGGGAAATCCCTGTGGTCCCAGTGGGCCAGCCCAGGGACGCCCAAGCTTCACCTCACCACCACACCCCCTTACTCAGCCTCTAGTCACTCTGCCTCCAGGCAGTCAGGTCCAATGCAGGGAGCGTATTGCAGCTGACAAAGTCCCGGGGGAACGTGTTGGACATGAAGATGTTGTTCTTGGACACGGTGGTGATGCCCGTGTTGTCACAGATGATGCGGGGCAAGGAGATCTTGGCCAGCGCCTGCTGCTGCTGCCTGGTGAACACGCCCTGGTTCTCCCACCAAAACCTGCATGGTGACACCCAGGGACATTGCACCTGAGGCTGTCCTTGGCTGGGAAGGCATCAGCGGGCTTGAGCTGCTCCCTGGATGGAAGAGGACCAGCACACACACCCGCTCCACAGCAGGAGATGGCTCCAGGCCCTCAGGCAGCCCAGGGGTTTTCAAAGGAGTGGCGCCTTCCTCACAGTACAAAGCACAGCTGCCTGGCTGCCTCCCCTCGGCCTCCACCCCCCACCCCGTGGCCTCGGAGGCCCCCCAGCTACACAGGGAGCTGGGCCCACACTCACGGACCCCCGTGCCCTGGCCCAGGGCTGTGACCATGGGGGTGGAAAGAATCTTGGGGTTGGTTTATAATGTGTCCACCCAGAGAGGGACACCTTTCTCTAATCTTCCCAAGGGCACAATACAGGCTAGGTAAGAACCGGGTATGACACATGTCAGGGCCACGATGAAACGACACTAGTAGGAGAGGCTTGGAGACCGTTCAGCAGTGAGTGACTGCTGTATGGTGGCACCCTGAAACCAGGGAAGGCATCGGTAAGACTTGCAGTTTCTATGTCTCCCTTCACACCCACGGCTCCAGGCCCCTCCTTGCTGTACCCCAGCAAGTTCAGGGCGCATTTAGGGATGACCTGGAGGCCCAGAACACACTGGAAAGTCACGGATTCCTTCCTGCCCCTCACTTCACAGGAGAAAGTTGGGGCCCCGAGAGGTTGGGGAATAGGCCTGCAACCACACGGCGGGCCTGAACTGCTCGCCATGCCTCACCGGTCACCGTCTCGGAGCTTCCTGAACTGGGTCCCAATGAGGCAGGCAAGTAGCGGGCCCACGCGGCCGTTGGGCTCCAGGGGCTCGGCCACACCGCCCATCCAGATGTCAATGTTGTCGGGGGTGCCGTACTGCTGCATCAGCTTCCGGGCCAGGCCCAGGTTCTTCATCACTGTGGCCAGCTCGCCCACCGAGCTGGGCTGCGGGAGCCCACAGAAGCGCCGCCAGGCATTGTACCCTGCGGGGGCGGGGAGCGGGGGCTGTGGGTGGGTTCCCCAAAACTCACCTCCCCAACACGCCGTGGCCACGTACAGAGGGACGTGAGGGAGAGGCCACGGAGGGGCTTCTCCCAGGCTCTAAGCCCCAAGAGGACCCTGAACTGAGGGGCCAAGACTCTTCTCTTTCCCTTGCCCTCCCACTGTGAGGAAAATCCGAAACTGCCCGGAACTCCCACAGGGTCCAAGAATAGGGACATCTCATTGTCCCCCTCTGAAGATCTCAGATCTGAGGCTTGAAGTGTGTCTAGAAGGTTCAGCCACACTAGCTGTCCCCTAACGTAGGCACAGGCTTTGGGGTTAGGCTGACCTGGGTTCAAATTCAAGCTCTATCCCTGATTTGGCTGGGGAAGAGCCTGGGAAGGTTCTGAAGCTCTCCAAGCCTCAGTTCGCTCATCAGTAAAATGGAAGTGATGATAACCTCTTCCCCTCAAAGTTCATGTAAAATGAAGCAAAATGAAATGTGATGTGGACAGTTTTCCAGCCAGTAGGGAAGCTTGGGCAGCTGCGGGGCACTGGAGAGGGCAGGGCTCGAGAGTCGGGGGGCAGGGGAGCTCCTGCAGCCCCCTCACCTGGGAGGCCGTGGTCCCGGCTGCGCTGCATGTTCAGGGCAGGCAGGTCCAGCCCGATCCTCATGACCTGCTCAAACAACCGGTCCCGGATCTCATCCACCACGATTTGGTTCTGGCGATTCAGCTTGGCAGGGGTGGCCATGAGGCCCCGAAGGATGGGATCAATACCACCTGGGACAAGAGGAGCAAGACTTGGGGAAGGATCTGGCTCCATATCCAGAGCTCAGACTGGACTCAGGGTTAAGTCCCAGGTGCAGTTGGGGGATCGCGGAAGAGGGCTGGGCACATGCAGCTCCTGGTGCCAAGGTCACCCCAGTGGGCAGGTCTTCACCAGGGAATCAAGGTCTCAAGGTATAATGCCATTCAGACTTGCAAGTTGGGATGCACTCAGGCCCTGGTCTCCTGGGTCACCGAGAAGAAGCCAGTTCCCTACAAGCCACCCCACCCTTTGTTATTATATACAGAAGCAGTCAGGTGAACCGAGGCTGGAAAGTCAGATAGGATCCCCAAAGATGGAAGGCAGAGTACTTCTCCTGTCCTAGCTTCCTGCAGCCAAGCCCACCCCACCACATCCTCAGCTGCCAGCCCACTGTCTCCTGGCCTAGGTCCTGCTCACCTTCCAGCACTACTCTCCAGGTAGCAAAAAAGACCTTGCTGAGTGGAACGCGGGGGTTGGGCCCCATGGGCTGGTACCGGTTATCCAGGCGGAACATGAAAGGTTGGATGAGGGTGTGGCCATAGCGGAAGGCATTGGTGAAGACATTGGAGATTCGAGGGTCCACCGAGTCATTGTAGGATCTGTAGCGTGGCAGGTACTTCCTCAGGGCCCGTGGTCCCAGCACCAGGGGCAAGTAGTCCCGGTAAGTGATGATCTAAAGAAAAGTCACGCTCACAGCGGCCTCTCCACTCCACCTTCTCTACAGAGTCTCCACCTGCACTCCTGGCTTGGGGAGCCCCTCCATTGACTATGGCCAGGGTTGTCTCCCACAGCACTGGACCTGGGTCCAACAGAGTGGCTCCTGAGTGGTGGCTTATAAACAGAGCTCTACTG